TTCACGAATGTGACCTACCGAATTAGACTATTTACCGGATTTGTAATAACATAAGCAACACGACGGGTGTCACATGTGGAGCAGGATCTGCTTACCCTTCCGGAACATCTGAGATCACCCCCAGTTTTTGGTGGGGTTCGTGTTGCTTAGTCTTTAGTTTTCTATGTTGTGTCATCTGTACTATTATTTGTCTGTTTTTCTTTTTATTTTTGGCCATGGCGTTGTCAGTTTGTATTCGATCTATGAGTTTGACTGTCCCTCTGGTATCTTTCGTCCCTCTCTGCCTTATTAAATCAACAAAGGATCATATCAATTTGTAAATTTAACAAGGGCGTTTTTAATACATGTATACGAAAGATAAACATAGAAATACTGCTATCTAGTAAATTGACTTACTCTTTGACAGACTTGAAATATTGTACATAAAATGCGTATCTATATTATATGTAGTTCATTTAACTAAAATTGTTTTTGAATAAGAAGGAAGGTGTTAGATAGACAACAACTTATGATAAATATACTGACAAATCTGACTAGATCAGATTCGAATGCACAAAACAAGGGACAGTCTGTATAGTTGTTATTCTTGTGTGATCTTTTTTCTTTGCCATAACCTAACAGAATAGAAAAAAGTATGTCTCTGTGTGTTGGAATGAATGACAGTAAGGAAATTAAATGTAAAATGATTATCATATAAATGAAATGGTCTTCAAAAATATGTACATAGCATGAATTATACAGATATTCATTGTTGGATTTACTCAAGTTAAATTTCTATTAAATCCAATGTATTTCATTAAAATATCTTCTGAGGTATCTCCCCTAGACCAGATAGTGATTATCCTACATTATAACAGTGAATGTCTCAAAGTTTAAATTTAATATTTGATTTTAAACTTGGACTCTGTCTCGTTCTTGAATTTTATGTTTTCATATATATGTATTTATTGTACAATACTAACATGTCTTAAGCTGTATAGCAGAGAGAATCAAATCTGTTTTGTCAAAATTAATAAGTTCTGTTCAAACTGGTTTTATTCCAGGTAGATAAATAGGGTCGATTAATATATGGTATTCTTCATTTTACTGAAGACAATAATATTCCAGGAATTCTCTTGTTGATTGATTTTGAAAAGATATTTGATTCCATATAATGGTCCTTTCTTTATGATACATTCAGATATTTTAATTTGGGCGATATAGTTATATCCTGGTTTAAAACTTTCTATAATAATATAACAGCTGCAGTGACACAAAACTGTTTTCTGTCAGAATTCTTCACTGTAGAGAGGAGCTGTAGACAGGAGGATCCTTTATCCCCTTATATTTTCTTGCTATATGCAGACATATTAAGCATTTTAGTCAGAAATAGTAGGGAGATAAAGGGTATTACTATAGATGATACATAATTTGTACTTTCTCAATATGCGGATAATACATCATTGATATTAGATAGCTCGCCAGAATCACTAGATGCATCTCTTTGTGTTCTCCAATTTTATGCTGAAATCTCGGGACTTAAAATTTATATAGAAAAGAACAAATACTATTTGGATAGGTTCAAAAAAACATAGCCAAGATCAAATGTGTGTTAAGTGGGGATTGAAATGTGGCTCCAGTACATTTAAGCTCCTTGAAATAACTTTTTCGGTTGATCTAGATAGAATGATTTATCTAAACTTTAGACCAGTGTTAGATAATATAGACAACATTTTGAAAAAATGGTCAAGACAGTATCTCACCCTCTTTGGAAAGATTTTCATTTTGAAAATTTTTGTCATATTTAAATTAAATCATCTGTTTCTATCTATCCCTAGTCCAGATGAGAATAAGTTACGAAATTTAACAAATAAAATGTATCCATTTATCTGGGATAATAAACGAGATAAGATCATGCGAGATCTTTAATGTCAAGATTAATATATCGGTGGTTTAAAAATGCTAAATTCAAAAGCATATATACAAGGACTTAAACTAACATGGATAAGAAGGCTGTATAACTTAAATTCAAAGTGGGTGAGATCACTCTCTATTGTTGAGCAAATAGATTTTAGTAAACCAAATTTCATTGGGTCCATGAAAAGGTCATCAAATACATTTTGGCAAGAGGTTTTTGATGCTTGGAAAATCCTTAATCAATAGAAAGCCAAGATGTATTGATGAAGTTCTATCTTTTCCTTTATGGGGGAAAGGGGGGGGGAGAAAACATTAAAATTGGTGCTCCAGATGTTTATTTCAAAATATGGGCTAAAGCTTGAATTTGGACAGTGCATGACTTGTTAGAAAATCAGGGCAAAATTATGTAATTTCAAAATTTCCAACAATTATATCAATTTAGACCACATTTTTTACATTATTATGAAATATCACACTCGTTTAAAGAGTGGTTAAACGGAATCAATATTGAAGTAAAGGAGAAAAAAAATATAAGTATTTTCTTTGAATCAAAGAAAGGTTCAAAGGACATGTACAAAGTATTGAATGAGAAATATATTGATGTTGCTGCAAAAAAAAATGGCAAAACCATATCAATATGACTGTCATTAACAGTTTAAATTCATAATTAGAACACAATGTTTTTACATTTCCATTTATGTCCTTAACCTGAAAAAGCGAATAGAGTGTTATGTGACAAAATATTTAATGTAACCTTTTAACAAACTACGTCTTAAACTAATACTTTACTTTTAGAGCGATTAATATCAATATTAAAGCGTACAGATGGGTAATTTAAGTACTCAGATCAAGCCGTTTCTTATCAATACAGATTGATACATTGTGTAAAATAAATTATTGACAAGTTCTTGTAAAAACAAAAGACTCCTAGATCAGATCAACACCAAAAGTAGGTCAACATGTTTTATTAAACTTTTGACATAAAAGAAACATTAGTTCTTATACAACTAAACAATTGGCATTATTTTCTGACATTTCCATATTTGGCTAAAATAGGTAAGCAAGTTTAGTTGCCTTAACATCAGAGCGTACTTCTATATAAACTATAATTAAAGCTGGCGCGACAAAATGCAAAAGTCTTTCAGCACGACCACAGCTGCCTCACCATAGCAACAATACCATAAGACATCAACACGTTATTGCAAAAGGTTAGTCACGAACACAATGTGAGATTTGCAAAACTGTTATTAAATCTTTGAATATTGTGTTTATCGATATAAATATTGATTTTGTTATCAACAAATTCAAACCAAACTAAATACTATTGTTATACACATACATTGACATATGTACATTCAGGGTCCTACAATCTGTCAATACCAATATTTTGGCATTGCACAAGGTCATTGTTTTTCTCTGACTGTAAATGAAGTCTTTACGCTAGATCTATTGGATGCTGGATGTGTAGTGATTGATATTTAAGTCTTAGATACTGTTTATTCGTTGTTTTTTGCTTTGAACCATCTGTCAGTAACTGCTAGTACTCTCAGATCTGTAATTTGTGTATTTTGTGTTTTTGTTAGGGTTTTTTGTAGTGCTTTGTATCGATCTGATATGCGCAGGTTTGTAATTGGCGCCAGAAACATGTTTAATTCCGCCACATTCTGTATGCGCCTTTCCCAAGTCAAGAACCTAAAATTCAGTGGTTGTCGATTGTTGTTGTGTATCATATGAGTTTTTCGTTTATTATTTTGTACATAAATCAGGCCGTCAGTTTTCTCGTTTGAATTGTTTTACATTTGATATTTCGGGACCTTTTATAGCTTACTATGCGGTTTGAGTTTTGCTATGGTAGGATGGCCGTACGGTGACCTATAGTTGTTAACTTCTACTTCATTTGGTCTCTGGTGGAGAGTTGTCTCATTTGCAATCATACTACATCTTCCTTATTTATTAACAACGTTATGAACATTATGTTCTTATGTTCTTATTACGATTACGTTACGATATATAAATGATACGCTCTCACTTTGTTTGGCGACTATGCCATCTGACTTCGAATTAGGATTACCACATATTCAGTTTAGTCTGCCCTATATCATGTATATCCTGACTTACATCTAGACAATGGGAATCGGTTGAAGTTAAAAGTTTTCGACAGAAGAGATGAATTCATCTTTCCAATTGTGAGATTTCCGTTTCTTTGTAGCAACATTCAAGCAATATCAAGGATTTATTTTCGATGGTACATTAACATTGTCTGCTCATGAATCCTATATCCACATGACATTTAACAATTACGGCAAAAAAAATGACTGACATTTCAAATACAGACACAATGCAAATGTAAGGACTAAGACGGGCACATGGAGATAAATGTAAGATAACTTCACGCGAGATTGAATATATGAATAGGAAAAGAGCGTTCTGCATAACAATGTTGATTCACAAACTAGTTGTAAGAAAGAAAACAAATATATTACACGTCTAAAAATTAAATACAACGAACCTGTTAAAATAAAAAAAGGATAAACAGTTACTGCTGCACTTGGCCAGGCTATAATTTGAAAAAAGATATAAACATAGAAGGTGCAAATATGTTCTTGTCCTCGCGTTTACGGTTTACTTTATGCTTCTAAATCTAAATACATTGAATGGCAACTATGAAATAGGAAAGAATAACAATCTTATTTAAACCTCTCTTCTTATTTAATGTCTCTTTATCATATCTAATAATACAATCTTATTCTATTTAAACCTCTCTTCTTATTTAATGTCTCTTTATCATATCTAATAATACTCATCCAATAGTCCACTTCTGAGTATTTTGCTGATATATTTTTGCTGCAATAGAAGACATGTGATGTTTCGTACACCAAATATTGTTTTCAAATGTTATAAGTTCAAACAGCGTCCGTTTAAATTCAATTAAATGTATATTAAAGGCCTTGAACTTCAAAGTGGTTTATAATATAGGAATATTTTAAAAGCGGAAAACAGTCATCTAAATGACCGGATATTTCTTTTATAACAATACAAAAACACAATAAGGAAATAATGTTTAAAGAAATTCGTTGAATAAAGTCATTGTTCTAAAAATATTTGAGCGTGTCTCTACGTAACGGAAAACCAGCAAGTATATGCAAAACACGCACAATGTAGATCCTTTCTGGTTCATTATGCACCTCACTGCTTTACTTTTACTTGCTTGCGTTAATGGTGTCGTAACAATGGTGGCAACAGATCCAAATATTTGTCCACGGAAAGTAACTACAAGGTAAGTTAATCCCCTAAAATCAAAATTTATTTTTGAAAATCTTTTAGTTTTAATAACATGTTTTTGATGATTTTTTGTTCACACTGTGCATCCAAAAAGCAATTAGATTTATCGCATGTACTCTTAGAAAGAACTGCCTGTATATAGACGGTTACTCCTCGAAGATTTAAAATGCACTATCAACACCATTGGAAAAGCTTTGGTAGTGAAAATACTTTGATATGAACATTTAAAAAAAATATTTTGTAAAAAGTTTTGTAATAATTCGGACATAAAAGAGTTATTGTTCTAAAAGAAGAAGAAGCAAAGTATATGTTCTTCCTGTTTTCTTATCGGTTTACGATTGTGCTGCTTCTGTGTTTTTACAACCTTATGTATTGGGCTATATCGGCAAGAAGGTGTTTTGATGAAGATAAACCCTTGAAGATATTGTCAGTGTCGCCAAAATATAAGATCTATTAATTATATAAGGTCAAAAATATATTTGTTATCGTTGTGTTATGCACATTCTCTTCATAATATAATAAATTGCATACTACATTCTTAAAAGTTAAATTGTTATGTAAAGTTCACATTTACATATATTTTGGACAAAGGCTGTTTAACTCAACTGAAAATAAAAGTACATTCCTTGCATTCATATGAAAGTTTGTCCTGAATGTTTGTTTTTATTATTTTGCTCTTATATAAATGAACTATTTGTCACTATATGTACAGCGAACAACAATCAACAATTTATCTTCAGGTTTTTTGTTAAGACCTTGCGGTGTATTTATTCTGGTTCACTTGTATGTAGATGTCTGTTATTCGTCTGAATTCTACATAATCATGTATTGAAAAGATGCAGATTGGATTGCAATGTCTTTAATATCCCCCGTCTCGGTGGGTCTTGTTGGCGTGCAAACTTCGAGTGAAGGAGGTCGTCGGTTCGAACCCATGCTGAGTCAAATAAAAGACGGTAAAATTAATAGTTCCTGTGTGTCAGTCTAGCACTCGGCAATGAGAAGGAAGAATAAACACTGGACGGCTAGGAGTTTGAATAATGTGTCGTAAGTAATAAATAGGTTGACAAGTCTTCTTTACGAATGTCACCTTGCGAACTTGCAAATTAAAATTCCGTATCAAGGTTGATATTCATATTGCATTATCATTTTCACGTCCTAAATATGCTTTTTAATTTGCTGCTGGACTTCAAACGGCCATCCATCATCATTACAATCATATATCACAATGATACTATGTATTGCTATACAGTTATTATCGTTTATGATTTTACATCTTGTCTTTACTTTGGCATTGCACAATGTCATGTTTTCCTATACTGTTTATGACGTCTTAACACTAAATCCATTAAATTATACTGAATGATATTTTGTCTTGGATACATAGTTTTCTTTTTAGATGTAATTGGCATGGAACTAGCTTTCAGACACTATAAGTACGTGTAGATCTATGATTTGTGTCTTAAGGAATAAACACAACACTTTATTAATGTCATACATTCGAAGCACTTTTCTGGATTTATCTTCATCAAGAACGTCAAAACCCAAACATTTCGTACGCAAGGGATGTATAACACCTAACTACGCGTAGAGCTTTATAAACAAAACGGAATTTCGAAACATAGCCAAATTCATCTCAGATCAACTTTGCCTGAGGGAGATGGAAGTTTCTAAATAATTTATTAATTTATATATCATGTAAAGGTTTGAAAGGTACTTCAGCGATTTACATTGATATGACTATGTTTACTTTATATAAAAATGAGTTTAATTGTAAAATTATAAATATGTTATTTTCCTGTTCTCACAAATAAAATATTAAAAAAGTCAATTAACATTATGTAAATGCATATTGGGGTAACCAATTGATTAGACATTGGTGTTCCCAGCTAAATCAGGACTTCAATCTCTAACAAAAACATTTTGTTTCAAAAATCAACAATCATCTAATTTTATTAATGAACTACTTCATTTGTGCTTAGCTTATTTTTACTCGTGGTAAATGATGATTGACTAAAAGAATATTTCTATAAAAATTATCGTTCTATGCAATTTCACACAACACGTTAATTTCTACTGGTATCTGTTATTCATTGATCTGTTGAAATAAATAATATGTGCCACAATAAGCAATGTGCAGTATATATAATTTTTTAATGCTTTCATTCATTTTCCAATTTTTGCTTTATCGAATTTGTCTAATATCGACAATAACCAATGGCCGAAAATAAAACGTGAAGCACATGTATAGCGTTGTATATAAATATTGTATTGGCACCTGCGAAATAAACCAATCTCGATTTTTGGATACCATTTGATTCAGACTGCTAATAGCATGCGTTTATATTATTCAAAATGAGATAGTTGTCATTATTCTTACACAAGTCTCATTATATATAAAAGTAAGAATATGTGGTATAATTGCCGATGAGACAACTCTCCATCAGAGACCAAATTACATTGAAGTTGACAACTATAGGTCACAGTACAGCCTTCAACAATGAGCGAAACCCATACCGGATAGTCAGCTATAAAAAGGCCCCGAAATGACAAATGTAAACCCATTCAAACGAGATAAGCAACGGCCTATTTTATGCACGGTTTTTTTAATCGGTTGTTTTTATAAATCTTCACAAAACTTTGAACTTTTCGAAATATTAAGGATTGTCTAAACAGGAAAAGATTAGTTTAGATCACTTTGGTGAAAGTGTCGGCATTGTGGGTTCTCAATGTTATTCAACTTTGTACTTTATTTGGCCTTGTAAATATTTTGATTCGAGCGTCACTGATGAATCTGTTGTAGACGAAACGCGCGTCTTGCGTACAAAATTACAACACTAACATCATTGATGGATTTTGTTTTGCATAATTGTCCAGTTGATACCAATTTTGTATTGTCGTTTAAAAGATATTCTACATTTGATTAAATAATCAAATGTTGGTTGGGTAACGTTCAGTGAAAAGTTCTATACATGAGCAACACGACGTGTGTCACACGTGAAGTAGGATCTACTTACCCTTCCGGAGCATCTGAGATCACCCCGGTTTTTGACGGGTTTCGGTTTCCTTAGTCTTTAGTTTTCTATGTTGTGTTTTGTATACTGTTGTTTGTCGTTTTTCTTTTTCTGCATTTGTCAGTTTAATTTTGATTTATGAGTTTTAATGTGCCTTTGATATCTTTCGCTATTTACCACCGTAATGTCATCATAATTTGCCAAAAAAACCTGTTCTTAACTTTTCTTGAACACTACTATCTTTCGCTTCTCTACCACCATACTGTCAGCACAATTTGCCATTAAAAAACTGTTCTTTACTTTTCTTGAACTCAACTATCTTTCGCTATTTACCACCGTACAGTCAGCATAGTCTGCCATAAAAAACTGTTCTTAACTTTTCTTGAACACTACTATCTTTCGCTATTTACCACCGTACTGTCAGCATAGTTTGCCATAAAAAACTGTTCTTAACTTTTCTTGAACACTACTATCTTTCGCTTCTCTACCATCATACTGTCAGCACAATTTGCCATAAAAAAACTGTTCTTAACTTTTCTTGAACACTACTATCTTTTGCTATTTACCACCGTACTGTCAGCGAAGTTTGCCATAAAAAACTGTTCTTAACTTTTCTTGAACACTACTATCTTTCGCTATGTACCACCGTACTGTCAGCATAATTTGCCAAAAAACTGTTCTTAACTTTTCTTGAACACTTATTTCTTTCGCTTCTCTATCACTATACTGTCAGCATAATTCGCCACAAAACTGTTCTTAACTTTTCTTAAACACTACTTTCTTTCGTTTCTCTTTGACGATTTTATGCAAACACTCTATTAGTTGCTCGAATCTAAACAACAGTTTATGTATATAATAACAAAAGTAAGATAATAATATTTGCAAAACGGCTGTTTTATGTTACTGTAGAATCTGTTTACTGCTTTTTTTTTAAATCAATGGTATAATAAAGAAGTAAAATTGTACTTTAGGCAAGTTCAAATTGTAGGGACATTGACAACTGACTTGCAACAGACATAAAATTATCATACGATTTTGGTCAACGGTAGATGAAATATGTTTATTGTCATACTGAATGAAAAGGTTGCTTTCCGAAACCATGATGTATTCATATTTTTTTTTAACATGGATGCTTATATAAGTATTCATACTCCGCCAGGAAAAAAGTCTTTAAGCCCAAAAAGCACATGTCTTTATCTCACTTACAGGTAGTTAATTGAAATATTATGCTGAGTTGTTAAATAATGAACTTTCTCTGTTGTAGTAACTCGTCTGGAATCAACACACAGCTGATTTTCGATTGTTGTCCCGATTATTTTTTCCGCGATGGAAAATGTCAAGGTATTTTTGTTTTTAGCTTAAAAACATTTAACCATTCTTTTATTTATCAAATATATTTCTAGCTGTCTTTATGATATTACACAATGAGTTGTTAAATGCAACTGTTTCGTACACGTAATACTTTATACCAGAAGTCTGATCGTTGGTATAAAATTAGGAAGATGGGATGTGTTTCCCTATGACAAACTCTCGTTCGAATCGCTTTATCACTCTAAGACTTGCAGTGTTTAATTGATGTTAATTCATATGAGAGGTTTATATATCAGCACTAATTCTATCGAGTTGGAATGCGAGGACTGATTGACAATTTGTATGAGTGATGATCTCGGAATTATCATTATTTGGCAATTTGCCTTGTAAATGACTTAAATCACACAATGGACTTTATTACCATTTATCCCAGCCGTACCTCTTCTTGTTGTAAAAGCACTGGCGGTAAAAAAATATCATTTTAAATTATGACTTTCGTGAAAAAATTCCTTTGAACGTTGATTCTTTTAGAATTGATGATAAGCATTTGCAGAAATATGGAAGTTCTTTTATTTATTCACGCAATCTTTTTGTCTAAGAGATTATTTGCCGGCTGTTATATTCTTAAAAAAGTAAAAATTTTCATAATTATGATTTTTTTTAAATTTATTTTCCAATTGAATTTAACCAATATAAAGTTTTTTTTTTGAACAATCACCTTGTTTTAATTTGTCATTTATTCTTTTTTTGTTTTGTTTACATTATTTTATTAAAATTATACTTATATTTTTTTTTTCCATTTCAAATGGAAAGTAAAAAGTGGTTATATTATTAGAAATTTCAATCTTTAGAGTGTCCAGCAGGAAAGTGGGGTCAGGATTGTTTGTTGGAATGTATGCCAAATTACCACGGGGTTCGGTGCAAACAGAAATGCGACTGTTTAGATGGACAGAAATGTGACCCAGTACATGGATGTATTTGTGATATAGGGTTTACAGGTCCACAATGCTCAAATGGTAGGTAAACTATACAAGATTAATAGTATCAAGACACTACATATATAATGATACATACACGTATATTAGGCCAAAGATGTATTGCTATTTCCCAATTCAGTTACTTTATATGTCTTACATTAAAAAGTAGTTAGATGTTAGATATGTCGGTGTGCACGATTTAAAGTAATTTCTGTTCTCAGAGTAAACGCCGGAGCTGCATGACCTTTTAATATGATATACATGTTACCTGTTGGGATATTTTCTGATGTGTCTGATTATGTTTTTGTATTTGTTGTTTAAATCTCATCAATCTATTACTCATAAAATCAAGATAACGAATAAAAACCAAAGGAACTTCAAAAGAAGATAGACAGGGTGCGACCACAGGGTAAGCTCCTCATGGTATGAATGCATCACCCGCCATGTTAATCAGTCAAAATGTCACAAACCGGAATAGGACGCAATTGGTAAACCTACAGACAACTTCTATTATAGAAATTTTAAGATCTAAATAAGACTGTAATCACATGTCGTTAGTGAGTTGAGATACAAATTTATCGTATCGCTAAACCATTCGTGATGGTGACTGTAATACTCATGCAGTGTCGATTTAAATAGTTCTTCCTGATAATGCTGTTGGGGCAGTTTTTTGTGTAAGGATTTACCCTTGGAAATAAAGTCAGTATAACATGAACATAAACGGGCAAAACATATTAATAGAGATATGTAAACGCCATACGATTGAGAGGAAGGTATTGCTTGTTATAGATGTAAGTAACGATTGACTCTAATTCATTTCCATTCATTTCCTTTGAAGCTTGTTCATTCGGCACATACGGTGTGCAATGTGGTAAGGAATGTGTCTGTGCACATGATGCTGAGTGTGATCCTGTATCTGGGGTTTGTTTATGTCCTGCAGGATGGTTTGGAAATCACTGCACAAAGGGTAAATCGTTATGTTGTGTGTTTTAATTTCCTTGAATTGTTAAATGTAGTGCAGATCAAATAGATTGGCCTTCATAGAAACATTTGGAGTTTACTGCACACATGGTAAATAATAATGCTGAGTGTTTCCGGTGCATTCCAATTTTCACATTATTTGAAATTACAAATGATGTATACCTTGACCTTTATAAAAACATTTCAAATGAACTGTAAGGACCCTGTATTTCAAGGATTACCACCAGTTACAACATATCATATTTGTTTTTCGTTTATTGTTTTGTACATAAATAATCCTGTTGATTTTCTCGTTTGAATGGATATACATTTGTTTTGTCCAGGCATTCATTAGCTTATTATTCAGTGATTCTCGGTTTTATGTTATATTATATTATATCGATATCATATTTGTTTTTCATATATTGTTTTGTACATCAATCAAGGTCCCTGAACGGCCTTCAACAATAAGCAAAACCTATGCCGCATTTTCAGCTATAAAAAGCCCCGATGAGACAAATGTAAAACAATTGAAACAAGAAAACTAACGGCTTGATTTATGTACAAAACAATGAACAAAAAACAAATATGATATAAAGCAACAAACGATAACCACTGAATTACAGGCTTCCTACTTGGAAAAGGCACAAAGGGTAAACATGTTTGCGGGCGCCCAACTCTCCCCTAACCTGGTACATTGGTGTAACAGCACAACACATGAACAAACTTTAACAATTAGTTGAAAGTGGCTTAACTCATCAGATGGATGCAGAAATAAAAAAAAAAAAACACCAGTAACAAAAAACACAGTTCGGATGTAGCACGGTATTTATACATCCCCACAAGAAAAAAGACACTAAATAAATACCTTAGACTACTGACAGTTACTGACAGCTAGGTCAGAGCTAATAACAACTAACAGAAATGCATGTATCTTAAACTAAAGTCCTCTTATAACATTTTGTGTCGACCGAGCAAAATAAAAATCGCCGAAAATATATTGATCCATTATTTGGTATGAATCAACAAAAAATATTGTGACAAGAGCTTGCTTGTTAGCACGTTAGCATGCTAAAAAGAGGGTGTTTTTTAATATGGTGGGTAAATTGTTATTAATTACAGAAAAATATTCCAGTCGAACTGGAATCTTGGTAAATGATATGCTATATATCATATGTTACATCATTATCAACGCATAAAACTCTCTTGCAAATTATTAATTTGTAATAAGCATCCTTATTGATATTGCTAAAACTAGAGTTAACTTATTTCGTATAGCTACTGTGTATTTCAGGATCGGAGTTGTATGATAATTTTGTGTGATATTTTTTTCTGTTGTTTATGGTGTTTTCGTTTACATGAAATTACTAATAAACAATATTTTTTATCTTTTCAAGCGTGTACAATTGGAACATACGGTATCAATTGCACAGAGAAATGTATGTGTGCCCAAGACGCTCAATGTGATCCCGTAACTGGGGAGTGTTTATGTCCTGCAGGATGGTTTGGAGATAATTGCTCAAAGGGTAAATAATTTTTTTGTGTTGTTCCGTTTTCACAATAGGCCAGTTAATATCACTGTTATATGTAGAACAGTTTATATACATGTGTATACCAAGCAATGTTAACAAACACACATACAATAGTATATAATGATTTTGGAAGATCAAACCAATGTATGCAGACAGATGCAACAAAAACAAAATCAATAATATATTATGATTTATTTCTTTTGAAGTTTGTGTATCCGGAACATACGGAATGAACTGTAATGAAGAATGTTTCTGTGCACATGATGCTACATGTGATCCTACCAATGGGGATTGTGTGTGTCCTGACGGATGGATTGGGGATCATTGCACAAAGGGTAAATTATGTTGTTGAGTGTAGGTCATGTAGATCGACTCTCAAAGCAAAGTTAATACTGGTATACTCTTTAAGATTTAAAAGTATTCATATTGAAAGTATATTGATTGATTACATATCAGTCTTAAAATTTGCCCAATGGTATTGATTTTAAATTTGTGCAATGATACTAAATAAAATGTTTACAGATGTACCGGTATCAAATTGTAATATACGAAGAACAAATGAAGAACTGTTTTTAATAAACAAAATAAAATAATAAATAAAAAGACTCCATGTTTTCTAACTAACAATCCATCTGTAAAAATCAAACTTCGGTGTTATGTCATTCGTGATCATTGGATATCAGTTGAAAATTTGTTTACCTTTAGAGACTTAAAGATCTGTAGAAATAACGTTACCTCGCTTGAAAAAAAATCAATGAAACTATAGTAATTTAAATATACGGGTGGAACATGTGACACTTATTAACAATTAAATTTATCTGAGTCAATGGTCTAGTTTTGTTATATCTAATTAAGATAATTATACATTTTTTATATTATTATTGACCTTTTGTAGAATGTCCATCCGGAAAATATGGAATTAATTGCAGTGGAATTTGTAACTGCTCAGTTCATGATAATTGCGACGTTATATCCGGAGATTGCAATTCACAGAAAGGTATTTCTATAGATATAGTTTATCGGTCCAGGTAACGGTCCGATTATCTGGGAGTAAACACTTTATGGATAGCATAAACTGTAGAAATAATGACGAAAGAAGAGTCTATAAATCTACAAATGTTGTTCTTTCCTTTATATAAAGATACGAAGATGTGATATGACTGCCAATGAGACAACTATACACAAGAGTCGATCAGACGTGGATTGAGTCAACGCACGACTTGAAAACTGAGCAAAACTAATACCGTATAGTCAGCTATAATAGTGGAAAAATAGATGTACAATAACACTGCAACTTGAATATTTACATTAAAATTACAGTGTTTAATAAGCAATTTGACATCATACCTCAAACCTAGTTTGTTTACTAAAATAAATGAGATCACTGTCATGTTGTCGTACTCATTTCATGAAAGTATCATGAAAACGTTGATGCGTAAAAAACACTCAACGACGTATTCATTATTTCAAAAAACTGACACAAATTCAGCTCTAACAAACATGTTTAACCCCGCCACATTCTTTAAGTGCCTGTCCCTAGTCAGAAGCATCTATTTCAAAGGTTGTTGTTGGTTCATGTCTGTCATATTTGTTTTTCGTAAATTGTTGGTTGTAAATAAGGTTGTTAGTTTTCTCAAATGAATTGTTTAAAATTTTATATGTCGGGACCCCTTATAGCGTGCTATGTTGTATGGGTCTTTTTTATCTCGTCGTTGAAGGCCGTACGTAAGCCTATAATTGCCTTCATCGATTTCATTTGCACTTTGGTGTATAGTTGTCTTATTGGCAATCTCACCAGATCTCTTTATTTAAATATTTTTTTCAAGTTGTAATAACATTGACCGTATCAATTGTTCTGCACCAGATTTCGACAAAAATGTCTATTTAGTGAAGCTCGAGACAAAAAAAAAACTTATAAGATAAATGACGAGCTTATAAACAAAAAATTCAAAACTTATAGCCATAGCCAATAAAACAATCAGAGATTTGCATGAGGGAGATATAGTCCTTAATTTAAAACAATATCACAAATTTGGTAACAACAAGTTTTAATAAAACAATATACGTGTTTTCATGGGCTGGTGATACCCACCAGAACTAACAAAAAGTAAAATGCAAAAAATAATGAGGTCCAAGGAAAATCCAAAACGGAAAATCTTTTATCAAATGTCAAAATCAAAAGCTCAAACACACCAAACAAATGTAAAACAACTGTCATATTCCTGACTTGGTACAGGCATTTCCTTACGTAGAAAATGGTGGATTTATCCAACATCAAAGGTATCGACCCAGTTGTAGTCATAACATTAACGGTACTAATTTTCAGCACCCGTTGCACTTTTCAAAGGCAAATGGATCTTCGCTGATGCTCGAGGCAAAACATTTTGAAAAATAAGAATTATTATAAAACGAAAAGCTTATAAACAAGAAAGGACACAAATTATAACCAAAGCCAGGCAAGAAATCAAAACTTTGCATGAGGGAAATATATTCCTTAATTTTAAATAATTTCGAAGAGAATGTAGCAGCAAATTTTATTAACACAATTTCCATATTTTCATGTTAGGCAAAGTATTTAATTCGTAGTAGTAGACCTAAGTTACAATAGAAGACATAGATTTCACTTTATATTGACATTGGTTTTATAGGAGAGCGCGACACATTAATGTTTTGCGGATCAATTTATTCACATATTCTTCAAGTGAGGCGATAGAGATGTCTTTTTAAATGTTAACATTCATATAAAAGAAAGAAGTTGTTTTTTCAAACATGTAAAGAAAGAAAAAGGATGTATCATTTTCAAATATTTAAATCTCTTCTATGAAAACAGTTGTTTCAGATGCAAAGGTCGATGGGACTTCAGGAAATACCGTAATCGTTTACATAATGATGGCTGCGGCTCTTACTGGTTTGATATGTGTGGTAGCTATATTCGTGAAAGTTAAAGATGCACTCTGTCGTAATGTAAAGAAATGTCAAAAGAACTCCTCAAAACAAAACATGGAACTACGTAAAGCGAAACGAAGGCTACAATCAGCACAAACACAGGACGCTCAGACTGAATCATCTATTATAGATACAGAAACGTCCATGTTTCAATATCCGATGGAAGCAGATTTATATTGCGAAATAGGTGATATCGATGATTTGGAAACAGATCGATATGAAATGCACAAACATTAGTTCAACTTCATAAAATGTCGATTGAAACAACTTAATCGACCAAAACTATTTGTAAACTGATATTAGTTGCTAATTTTATAATTATAAAACCATAGGAGGTAAGATGCTGATACATTTTTTTTTGTAACAAGTCTGGACATTAATACAACAAAAATAATTACATTTCTTTAATCCTTTCAAAATTAAGCTAATTTCAAACTTTGATAAAAAGGATAGTACAATTGAATATTTCAGCTCATAAAAATTACTCGTCATGAACATATGTTATGAGCCAAAACTCTTATCCAAAACTAAATTTAAGTCAAAAAAACACATCTGACAGATAATTGTCTTCAAAATAAATGAATGTTGTTTATTTTTATAGATTTATAATTCTCATGACTTTGAATTCCAAAGTCCAATATTGGACTGATCAAACCTAGTTTTGTGTTCTCAATATAATAACATAAACGGTACCAATTATCCTGCACCAGATGCGTATTTCGACAATTGGTGGTTGTTTTTATTTATGCACGTGGCCAAAACATTAGAAAATCCAAATCCAAAATATTTTTAAAAATTGAAGAGTTTTTAAAACCAAAAATTGTACCAGCAAATTTCAAGAACACAATATTTTTATTTCAGTACCGAAGTTCTGGCTATTGGGCTGGTGATATCATATAAATTTTCATATCAAACAAGTATCTCTTCAATTGCGTCCAAGTAAAGTGATTTATATCAACCTATATCCCGCTCCTTGTGTCCTATTCAAATACCAATTGGTTGCATTATAATATGAATAATTTAAGATTGTCATTGGTAATTAAACAGGAAACACTTGTCAATACTTGTGTGAATACTTGTTTCATTGATTCATCTCAGCATCTCAAATACTAAGACTCACAAATCCTACATGTTAGTACTGATGATTCATGTATTTGTGTTGTGCAAGTTTTCGTGGATTGTGATTTTTCTTTTATCTTGGTCGATATGTGAATTCGTTGTACTGTATACCAGCCTAAAAAAATGTATTCTTCGTTAAACATATATACGTGTTTCCCTTGAAAACCACGAAATTGATATCCAACGAACAATAATAAAGCCACAGTATGTAGGGCTTCTAATTATGTACTGTTGATCCTAATATCCATTGTGTTTTAATTTAAATTGACAGTAACGATCCGTTTAGATATTAACACTTAATATTAGTTAAGTTGCACATAGGAGGTATCTCTGACGCCGTTACTCAAGAGACCAATGTAACAGTGACGTGCATTCGATATCTAAGTATTTTTACCCGCTGCAAAATCATAAGACTTAATTTCATTTACCTCATTAATTGTCACACGTAGAATCAATAAAGCGTGTGTTATATTTTATCTTCAAAACCGTTGTTTTCTTATGTTTGTTCTCAAATAAATGTAATTGCTAAATTGTTGAAACAACGATCTTTTATGGAAGGGATTTTACAACTTTGTGTAAAAGATAAAGTAATATTGACGTCCATACGTCTGTTTTGCGGATGGTACAATAGTTAATGCATGTAAAGTTGTAAATCAGAAGATACAATTCAGAATTTTCCTTATAGTATCTACAGTAATTGATACATTTGGTAAATTGGGAACAATGCAAAACACTTAATTTAACAAATAGAACAATATAGAATTAACGAGTGATGTTGGTTTGTCTATACAGGCATTTTAACGCATCAAAGTGATTTGTGGATTAACCCAATACCATTCAACTTATTTTATCAAAATCTTCAACCAAATGAACTCATTGTCAGAAAATTAGAACCTAACTTTACATCATGAAAATTAAGCATATATATATATTATTTGCAATTAAGTTAATCATACAAGATGTTTGATTGTTGGTGTTTTAAACGCCACTTTTAGTACTATTGGCTGTTTTGTGACGACCAGTTTCAATTGGAGGAGGAAGCTAGATTGCACAGAAAGACGTTCCAAGCATTTAATGATGTAGTCTTCTATGTTAGCCTCGATTTAAGAGTAACTAGTTCGTCGTTTTTATGTGTTTTGAGGTTATAGATTGACAACTTAGTTCAGTTTTGCCCTCAAAGCCCCTTGTTGAAAATGACGCAATTGTATGCTTTTTTTTAAAATTTCACATCCAATTCAACAAACGCACTTTCAGCATGAACCCCTTAGTCAAAACAATTTTGTAAAATTAAGTTTTATTTAGTATAAAAAATTAAGATTGTACAAAATTACAGTGTATAAAAAACGCGAATTTCAATCATTTATTTACAATTGTTGAATAGGAAGTAGGAAATACGTTCCAATTTGATTATCGAAAATCATTATCCGTTAATTGATATTAAATATTTATATTTGGATATTGTTTTTACCGGTATTTACATTAGTTTTGTTTTTGCCAGATTAAAACAAAGCACCTACATATATATTCCTTTACAAATATAAAAACATGTGACCCTACAACCTGTCGAAACTATTTACATGTATATCGGTACAACACAACGTCATGCTTTTTCTCAGACTGTTTATTTAACTTAAAGTCTTTCAAAATACTAACAATTTTCTACCGAAGAAATAGATAGCATTTGCTGTATTTGTCAAAACCGTTAGAAATTTTAGTTCCTCAATGCTCTTCAACTTCGTACTTTATTTGGCCTTTTGAGTATCACTGATGAGTCTTTTATATACGCGCCTCTTGCGTACAAGATTTTACTACTGGTATCTAAGGTGAGTTCATTTATAAGATCTTTACACTTGACTTTTTGAATACCTTTTGGATATGAACTAATTGAAACTTTATTATGGGATAACATAATTCATTCATTTATATTTCCGATTTTCTGTCGTTTTCTGTAATTTACAACTTTTTGAATATGAATATTTGTTTTTATATTTTGTTTGCTTATTTTCGCCATCGCACCAATTAATATTGACGGCCTTTAAATCTTAATTTATAAAGTCACACATCAAAACATACGATGACTCGAGAATCAAGCTTGACCATCATTTTTACTTTAGCTGTCCACTTTGTAATAAGGACAATTTTATATACATTTATGAGTTTGAATGTCCCTTTGGTATCTTTCGCCTCTCTTTATCCGATATAAGAGTGAATATTGATGTTATATATATATATGGTTTTACAAATAAATAAAGGCAACAGTAGTATACCGCTGTTCAATAGTCATAATTCGATTAAGCAAAAACAAATCCGGGTAACAAACTAAAACCGAGGGAAACACATCAACTAAAAGAGGAAAACAACGGAACAACTGAAACACTGAATAAAATATTCACAAATAATCATGTAATTACTAGGACACAAATAAAGACGACAACAGCACAATTTTGTTAATATTATGAAATAATAATGAATAAAAAAACCAAACAAACAGAAAACAAATTTAAAACCACAAAAACGCTATAGCACCAAATTCCATCGAAATCAATGCACCTAATATTGATTACCTACATAATGAAGGCTTCAAATGATTTTAGGGATTGTGACATCGTAGTGTAACAAATACAAAAACAGCTGAAAATACCATTGGGACGTTCAAGAAACTTTTTCTGTCGAGCGAATCTGACTTTGCGATTGTACAAGCAAAATTAATAAATAAGACATACAAGTTCACAAACACTACATAAAAATTAAAGACTGAATAACACTAACCCTTAAACCCCCTACCCCCCCCCCCCCCCCTTCCCTCCCAAGAAAAAAAAACCAAAAAACAAAAACAAAAAACAAACGGCGATGGTCTCATGTACTCCGAAAAGGTAATCAGATCCTGCACTTCTAGAGGCATCCGTCGTATTACTCATGGTAAAGTCTCATTTTGTGATGCCATAATCGAGAAAAAGAGGAAACGATATTGAGGTTCGACAATTGAAACATGTCCATGGTTAGCTGAGACACAGATATTTCAAAACGGTCAACCAACTAGTGTTGTTGTACGTTAAATTTCAGAAGAATGATTTTAACTTTTATTAGTTCTACTTCCGTGTAAGCAACAAACCTCTATAAAGGAAATCATGATAGGAAGCATAAGCTCTGGAATGTCGTATCAACTGGGGGATATATATGATCCATACAGGCGCTGCTGGAATGGAAATAGACAGTTCAAAATTGAATAAAAAACAGAAGACATCTCTTCTGTCGTAAAATTAAGTTCTCAACCGACCCTTGTTGTTAATTTGTATATTAAAGTCTAGATATGAGGCAAACTAAACTATATCTGCGGTATCTGTTATTTAAAAAAACGATGGAAAAAGATTTGTTCTTTCTAGTCACCAAACACCGAAAGGACATCATCTATATAGTTGAACGGGAATATGCGATAAAGTGCTAGATTCTTTTCATTCTTTTTGAAAAGCTCCTGTATTATGTCTTTCTCATATGAATAAAGGAGCATGTTTACAGGAAAGGGAACACAGTTGGTTCCCATATAGATACCGATTGTTTGTTGAAAACACGCCCTCCAAACGTAACAATTATGTTGTTGATAAATAAAAATCATGTTTTTTTTTCAAAAAATTTCGATTATCTCTTCATTCAACAAAATATTTGTATCCACGTTGATCATTCTTTAAAACGAAACAAAAAGGACTAGTTCTCTCAATCTGCCTTAATGTTTAGAATAAGGAATACAGGTGTAAACGTGAGAGAAGATTATGTTTAATATTGTTGCAAGAGGCAACTTAGATTGTAGGTACACTGACTGGAGCTTTTTATTTTCCACATCTGATTATTACCTACCCTATAGAAGGTAACTTCACAGTAACTTGGGAGCCTGGCTTTGATTTATGATGAACTTATGTTGATAAGTTGAAAAGAGGTTTCGTGAAAAAACTTGACAGACCCAGCAATGTAACGTTGTTATAAAGGACACTCATAAAATGATGCTATCCGGTACAGTGATGGAAGATCAAGTTATTAATGTTTAGGTGGAATTTATAAAGATACATAGAACAGACCTATGAATGTTCAAGATTCCCTCTTTGTAATTGCCTTTGTGGTATTTTTGCAGTTTCCAAGAGAATTGTCTATACAATTCCGTTATCAAGCAGTTTAAGTACGTTTAATATTTCACACACAAACGATATCGTTTCTCTGTCCCGAGTGTTCTTGCGTTTATTTGTACTGTATTCCTGTACCGTAATGTTGTCATCTTAGTGGTATTTTTAACATTGCAATATAAGCGGGAGGTTTGGCTAACCATTAAACCAGATATTACCCACCATTTGTTCTTAAAATGTCCTGTTTCAAGTCAGGAATATGACAGTTGTTATCAAATAGTCCGTTTCTATGTATGTTGGTGTTTGTTTTTGTTGCAGTTCAGTGATTCTCTTGTTCCGTTGTTTTCCTCTTATAGTTGATGTGTTTCCCTCGGTTTTGGTTTGTGACCCGGATTTGTTTTCGCTTAATCGATTCATGACTATTGAACAGCGGTATACTTCTATTGCCTTTATTCAGGAATGATCTGGGCTTTTGCAAGTTCGAATTCCCAAGAATTCTTAATTACATGAAATGTCAAGTACACAAGCGCAGGATATGCAAGATTTGCTTTATTCAAAACTGTACATTTGCATGTTTTATGTGATCTAATAAATCGTAAGACGCTGCAATGACTTGGGCTCTCTTTATTCAAAAGATTATGCAATATAATGCTAAATCATTAATTGAACTTGATATTTTTTTATACTCTTTGTGGTTTATTATAAATACAAAAAGTACAACAAAGCGTTATTTCATATTTAAAAAAACCTATACCAACGATTAGTTAAAGGTATTTGTTTGTGCAAAATATAGCTCAAGTTCCTAACTATATCCATTTGTAGAAAATTCACCTAACATAGCTTAATTTCGAATCACTTGAAATCTAGGCATCATGCAAAAGTGCAGAATAATTCCAAATATTAAAATTTTTAAATTTTGTCATTCACTCTTATCTCTCTACTAAAGGCTATTTCACTGATATTTTACATCGATCTGTCATGTACTGTTACTTTACAATTTTGACGGATTGTTGCTCTTCCAATCACTTAAGATAACTTAACCATATCAACGTACTAAATGCAAGACTTTATATAAAAAATAGTTTTCGATTTTCTTAAGCCACGCTACCATTATTGTTACTTTCGTACAAATAACTTCAACAACTCTATTTACTGCGGTCAATATTTTGTAAAGGGCCACCACCTTGTAAGTATTTATCTGGTATTGCCTTAACTACTTAATCACATATAAATGTTCACAGAATTTAAAACGAAACTCTAAATTCTTTTTTTCTAATTATTTCCTACATCTAATGATATCGATGATTCAACAAGTGAAAGGTTTGAGACCGCACACAACTACAAATGTAAGTTAAACGCGTTATATGTTCCCGTGCATGTACAACTCAGGACCTCAATTTGGATTACAAACATGCCACTTATAATAACAGTCTGTGTGCCCATACATATCTATATCAGTCTGTAAATTAACTGCCGACCACGACTTCTGATCACTCTTTTTGTTGGTGGTATATACGTCAAATAATGCATATTTAAGAGTTTTTTGTCTGATTATCCTGTTATATGTTTTTTCTGCAAGAAAACACTAAAAAACGTATACGGTAATGCATATATAAAGTTTTTTTAATCTCTAGATGCCTTAGTGTGTTTTTCTCATTTTTGAAGGCCGTACGATGACCTATAGTTGTTTATCTCTATGTAATTGGGTCTTTGGAAGAGGGCTGTCTCATTGGCAATCATACAACACCTTCTTATTTATGGATTAACGCTACTATGTTTCAAAATAACATGCTTTTTAAAAGACTGTTTTAAATTGATGGTATAAAAATAAAGAAAAAAAAAAACAGTAAAAAATGAACGGTCCCTGTGCTTGTTTTCGAGATATAAGCCATTGAAAATTAGGCGGGAAATAATTCTCTCTAGACTCTTCATACATTTAACATCGACACCCGTTTTCTTTCAAAAATTATGAAAAAATAACAAGGATTTTATAGGATTTTCAAATATAGCTTTTTAAACTACAAGTAATAAAATTATAAAAAGAAAAGTAGGGGTTAGCGGGGAAAATTTGTTAATGGCACTACATATATATAAAGTCAGAGGATTCCGAATATCTGGCAACAATTCAAAAGCAAGAGGAGCGAACATCCTTAATATGTATAAAACATTAACTGCAAACACGTATACATATGCTTATATACTGTGAGGATCTTTGGCAATGAGTGTTCATTTAAGTGTTATTTACTAAACAGGGATTTGGCGGTTTGTCTAAGCAGCTTAATTAGAATCTTGATGATTTGAGAACTCCATATAAGATAAAGGTTATGTTTGAACACATTGGTATGCCAATCTCAAAAATTACATGTAATCTGTAATTACCTCAAGAATGTAATATCATTTTATTCTATGTAAGTCTTTATATTGCACTAATTTCATTTTCTTCTCTGCCGTTTTCTTTACTTTCAACATACATGTTCATTACGGAAAGAAATATCACAAAACATAACACTACAAACCAGTAAAAGTGTGAAATGGCCTATATCTGTACTCGACTGTTCTGAGTTTTACTCGACCAATCTGAATTGGTCTGAAATTTACTCGATATTACTCGACTGTAGTCTGAACCATACTTGACAGTCTTAACTTGTTCTCGACCTTCTCAAAACCTTTTGAATGTTTCAGATATATTTTATGGTTACTAGAAAATTGTCAACACTAACTTAAGCCTGGTAAAAAATTAGGTAAACGGACAGAAAGTCATACATTTGATATGACAAAAAGTTACAGGACAAAAAGTCACAAATAATTTGTTTATAATTGTTTGAATATATAACAGAAAATCTTGAAATTATAACTTTGTATTACATTTATTCATGTTACAGTTAAGGAAATTTTTCATAAACGTTGATAAATGAAGATTTATCAAATTTAAATCATGCTTAGGATATATTTCTTTATGTAATGAATAAGAATGTAACTTATGTGCTAAACATAGAAAAATTTTTTTTTTTTTATATAGTCCACAGTTTATCCCTGGACGATGGAACATTGTAAACTCAGAGCCCCTTGTGTATAATTCCGTGGGTTATACAAGGTAAATTATATTCAGGTGATTTCAATAAATGTATTCCAAGTCTTAAAAAAAATTAAAAAAAAACAGAAAAGGATATATTTCTTGGCACCGTGAAGCCATTTAAGTACCAGGCAACTTTGCCAAATTTTTTTTTTAACAAATATTTGATCATAATTGATTTTTTTCAGAATACATTTTTGTTTATAAAATTGCTTTATATATACAAGTTCAAGAAAAATACAAAAATGTTTCTAGAAATAAGCGTTTTCTTATTTGAAGAAAATTAATCTCGAACGGAATTGTGACCTTTTGTCCTATGACTTTTTGTACGTGACTTTTTGTCCTGCATTCTAAATTTATGGTGTCAGTCGAGTTTATTTAATATCGCAGTTAACATTTTTTTGTATATAAAGCAACTCAATATATTTAAAAAATGACACCCTTGTTTTGTAGTACCAAGAATTTAATATTATAGAACTTCCAAAGCAATCCTTGAAAACATTTTAAAAAAGAAATTGTGTTCCAAAGCTTTAGTAAAAATTAAGGTTGATTAATTAAATTATGTTAAAATAAAAGACATGGCATGTGTTTTACAGGTAAAAATAAAATGATTTTTTTCTTTGAACTCGTGTATTATCTTTCTAGTGAATTCAAAAGGCCTTGTGATTTAAGTTTTACAGGATGTAGTGTAAAATTTATTACTCTCTGACCAGGTGTGCTCTTTTTAATGAGTGTGCCCCAAGCAGGAGGTATTTCTTTATAGTTTAACCCTGATCGGAAGAACAATTTAAATCATTTCGTAAATGTTTTATCCCTTTTAGATATATATATATCACTTTCTACAAACCGAAGGAACAGCTATCGGTTCCCATCTGGGCATGAATTATGCTTGTACCTACCTCGGACAATGGGAGGAAAATTTATTTCAAAACAGTAATTTACAGCCATATTCATATTGGAGATATGTTGATGACATATGGGGAATATGGGAACACGGTTTAGATGAATTAAAAAAAAATTTCACGAACTGTCCAATAGTATACATCCGCGAATTCAAACAGAAATGTGTTACTCAACTGAAAAAAATGAATTTCTTGATGTATTTGTAAAAATATATAGGAAACGGAGAACTAAACAGATCTTTATACAAAATCAACAGATAAACACCAGTACCTACATGTTTCGTCAAGCCATCCAAATTCTGTCAAAAATACCATACCTTCTGGACTCGAGTAAAAAGAATTTGTTCAACAGAAGAAACTTACCAAATAAGAAGAGAAGAAATAAAAACGCACCTGAAAGAATAGGGATATAAAAATTCCATTCTCAATTTTATTAACTGAAGATCAATTAAAAAAAGTCGACATTTTAAATCGAGATGATCTATTACAGTACAAACCAAAAAAAGAAAACAACAGAGTACCTTTGGTAATAACGTATTCCAAAGCGCTTCCAAATATACATTCAATTCTAAGAAAAAAAAATTAAATGCTCCATCAATCTAACAGACTAAAGAAAATATTCCCCGATCCGTCTATCGTAGCATTCAAACGCGACAACAACATAAAAGACATCTTAGTGTCTTTTGGAAGATGTTGTTTGTGCTGTATTTAGACCCCTCTACCAAGAAATTGGTTTTACATGCATAAATAATTAATTGAACATAGATTTATCAAACAGTTAAATCATATCTAGAAAAAATTAGAATGTAGAGAGTGTGTTAAGAAAACTTCGGAATGTTCACAATATATGGATACAAAATCAGAACGTTACGGATATGTTGATAAGAACGTAGTATGTTTAACATTTGTTAAGAAGAATCCAAAATCTTAAGAATATGTAGCAACTGGGTAAAAATTAAACATACTGTTCACAGTGTTAAGACAAAATTGATTCAAATGCAAACAAAACTTGGTTATTTCAGAATCTGTTGACTTTTTAGTGGTACTTGCTAAGTTTAGTTTTTTCTCACAAATTTTGTGCTGTAAGAGATGCTTACACGTAGGATGTTGTGCATATTTAATTCTATCACAAAAAATGTTGACAATGTACATATTGACACTTACCCATTATGACATGTTTATGACATCATAATTATAATAAACTTCCAAACACGGAATAGGGAGACGAATAGAGCAATCGAAATCCATAAGTCGAAGAAAAACGACAACTAAAGTTACTGAGCACTAAACGAACTGTATCATATATTCATTCGGTATAAGCTTAATGTTTTCATTGAAAGTATTTATTTAAGTTATTGTAATTATTTTTTTTCAAATTTAATGTAACAAATGATAGGAAGACCTTTGTGAGGCATGTACCCCTTTAACATACCAAATGAACAATACAAAACAATGAAATAAACATAGAAAAACTAAATTTTTAAATCGAAATTGTAGCATTTTAATATTAAGATAGTAAATGCAAAAGAGAAAAATAGTTTTGAAACAGACATTTTCCAGAAATTGCAGTAAATGGCAAAATAAATCTCCTTTACTGCGTGTTACAATGTATTATGCATATTTACACAATGACCGTCCTTTCCATCACCGATTTAAGCAGTATAATTGTTATTTATGCGTACACCATGTATATTGACATTTTAGTATGTCATCGGGGATTCTATTACTACCATTTCTTTCTCAATTGTTCAAACATTTGTGTGTGCAAAATTTGGTCTGGGGTATGTGTAAATAAATATGACAATTCTTGCACAAACATTATGAAACAAAACATTCCCCCAAAAAATCAAGAAACGTTAGCAATTGACGGTAACAAGTATTTTTAAACATCAATAAAAAATTATGATTTGATAACTAATTGTCTCAAAATTGCTACCAAATAAGCAATACTTTTCAACAGTTTTTGATGTTTACGTTAATATGTTCGATTTGTAAATACGTCAATTTGGACAGATTTAATATTTCCAGACAATCCAAACTATTTAATCGTTAACACACTAAAACCTGCAGAGTATGAAGGGCATTATTTGATTGATTGATTAGCTATTGGTGTTTCACGGCATTTTCGGCGCTCTTTGCTATAATCTGATGGCCAGTTGATATTGACGGAGGAAGTCGGAATACCAGGAGAGAACCTTAAACCGTCGGCAGGTCAGCTCGCAATTCTATTCGAATATAGACTTTGAAATATTGATCTGATTATTTGAACGATATTGTTTATTATGCATTCTTTAGATACAAATCCGACAGTAGAACATTAGGATCAGGAAAAATAATTGTTTTATCTAAATAAGTTACTGAGTTTACCACCAGATAAAAATTGCATACAATTTAAACCGAACTAAACTATTTATTGTAAAATTAATGTTAACAGATATTTAATGATCAACATGACCTTCACTAACGAAAACTTCATTTGTTTTGAGTGAAATGGTTTCTCAATGTGAAATGTAAAGAAACTAGTTGTCTAAGTAAAATTTGTGGTATGAGTAACAGCAAGGTGTGAAGGGGGTATCTTGATTCTATTCATTTAAACATCTTTTATGTTATTAGTTAAATCAACTGATAACATTTATATTACAATTGAATGGATTACACCAACATACCAAATCATACTCTTCTTATATTTTTTATTGCCTCTTAATGAAGATTTTAAATAAAACTGTGGATTTTCAACTCGATAAAGTTTATATGTTTATGATAAAACAATTTTGTTTTAATGATTTGCATAGGTGCACTCTATGAATACATGTCAAAATGTATATCATCCGTGTAAAAATATTGTTTTGTGCACGAGGAACAAGCAAATGAGTGAATTATGTCACTTTTTCATTGCTAAACCAACCTTGAGTGTTAAACTCTATTGTATGAATACGTGCGTAAATGATGTATTCGTAAATTTACTTCATTGGGTTCGCTCAGGACAATTAGTTTTGAATGTTAATAGGATAATAAAAAAAAAAGTCTTACAGAAGAGACATCACTGCATAGATAACCGTTGCGTCAAAATGAGTTACAATGAAGTTTTTTCAGCATATTTTTTATATACTGGAAAAGAATAGACAAAGTTATCACAGGAGATATGAGAAAAACAAGTTTTTTTTTGGTGGTGTCTGTTCATTCTTTATAAGAATTATTCATCAAACTAACCAACTGAACTTATATGAATTTTGGTTATTCTGCTAAGGTTTCACTTGACCATCAAGCTCTTCACGTCTTCAGGTACTTGTACATCTTTTGCTATCAATAATGTGGGCTTAAGCGTTCCAGGTAAAGGTAAGTTAAAAACAAGCCGTTAGGACGTATGAAATATATAAGTGTTTTATTTTACCTAGAGTTCATTATCCTGTAAAGGAGATTGTTTCGTCATAACAATAACCATTTGAAATTAAATACAGTCCTAGTCCGGAACACACTAGCTGTATATAGTACTTAAATAATGAAAAAAAAAAAAATAACAATAATAATCATTTCAATGACCGGATACATTATTTAAACAATGTCATAGGACAATGAGGAAATAATGTTTGACACAATTCGTAGTATAACAACATAGATCGGTACAAGTATGTAAGAGTGTCGACAGATCTGACAACCAGAAAGCATCTTCAAAACAACGATAATGTAGAAAGTTTCGAGGGTCATTATGTACATTGATTTGTTTTTTGTGTTTGCTTATATTGATATAGTCATAACACTGAAGACTGGGGATCCACATGTTTGTCCAAAGCCAGTTAAGATGAGGTATGTTTGTCATATTATTCGCGTGAAGTAAAAGATATTGATTAAAACATTAAATCTAAATCAAATATTCTATGCTTCTAACCTCCTTTGGTTTGCCTAACTTTTGCCTCGTAGTGTTCCTTGTTAAGATCATTTAAACACATATTTCGGAATTGTACACCTCATTTTACTAAACCTCAGGCGATACATCAACCCAGAAGGTAGAATTTTGCAACTGACAATGCTTTATGACAAACATGTTAGCCATGTTATTACTGGGGATCTAAACATAATTCAACATGAACATCTTCGAAAGGTGATATATCATGGTACTACATGTAAGTTCAGAGAACCCCAACACATGGAACCATAACTTTAAAATAATTATGGATTCCATTGAGGACTACGCCAGAGCATGGGCTTAACGAGAAGAAGTTGAACTAGACACTTTGTCAGAATGGGTCAAAACAATTAGGTCTCTGATAAAACGTCGAATTTATAAGTTGAGAAACTGTGTAAATGATCGACCAAAGTCCGTTTTCAAAGACAAAGAAGCTGTGAAATGTCTATCATCTCTTCACGATAAATATGTTGTTGTTCCTGCGGACAAAGCTTCAAATAGTATTGTCTTTGTATGTAATTCGTACTACTACGAGTGTCTTGTAAAAGAATTAGGAATAAATGAGCACTCAGGTAATCTCACATACAAAAACATATCATTTGACAAGAATGAGATTTTGGCAAATCATAAGTGCTTCATGGCTTCAATGAACATTACATTGAACAGCAAATATGAGGACACCTTGTTTGTATTGGATACCTAAGCTTCACAAAATTCCATACAAACAACGGTACATTGTCGACTCATTTGCATGTTCTAAAAAGGAATTGTCCATTAGATTAACAAAAAATTCTGTCCGCAGTGGAATTTGGTCTTCAGAAATACTGTGAAACTGTTTACTCGCGTAATGGTATTAACCATATGTGGATTCTAAAAACTCTAAAGAACTTCTGGATAATTTTAAATCTCGATCTTTCTCTGAAATTAATTCAATCAAAACTTTTGATTTTTCAACCTTGTATACCACCATTCCCAATATGAAATCGTCTAAAAGAAATAATCCACAATGCTTTTCAATAAAAAAATGGTAGCATACGCTATAAATTTATTACTTTGGGATACCATACGGCATATTTTGTGAATAGTAAACAAAAAGGTAAAACATGCTACACAGAGGAACAAGTGATCAGTATGCTGGAGTTTCTTATTGACAACATATTTGTTGAATTTGGAGGTAGACTTTTTCAACCAATTGTCGGCATTCCTATGGAAACGAACTGTGCAACTCACCTTGCCGACCTCTTCTTATTTTCATATGAGTCGGAGTTCCTTCAGATACTTGCCAAAAACTTGTCAAAAACAGGAAGATCAAAGAAGCCAGATTATTTAAATTCACACTCAGATATATTGATGATGTTATTTCCATTAACAATCCAAACTTTTCTGATTGGGTTCCATTTATATATCCTCATGTTGATACTTATACCTCGAATTATCAATTTACCCGACCTTAGTAGCCATATACCAACTTCACGTGCATATGGGATATACATTTTTCAACTCATTCGGTATTCAAGAGCTTGCAGCTGCTACTCAGGCTTTATAAAATGTCACCAGGGTCTGATCAGAAGTTTGATGAACTAGAGTTATGTCAAAGAACGTTTCGTCCTTTCTCTAAAAAAGTTCATCTGAAGATACCAAAACCTTGTCGATAAATATTCCGTATCAATTTCACAAATAATATATGATGGTCTTGAAGTATAGATTCTAGGTAATGCCGTTGTTTATCATCTTAATTACGTGTTATAGTGTTCTTTTATTTGTCTTTGTAAATTATTAACCTTTACTGTTTAGTCCATTTTTGGTAATATCCTTATGGCGTGGCTCGGTACTTATGCATCCCGCCATTGTGTTGTTGTGATGTGGTCATATTTTGTATTCTTGTTTTTCATTTTTGCTTACGTGCTTTGTCTATATGCCATTTTGTTTTTCTTTGTTGACATATTTGTTTGTTTTTATAGTGATTAAGATTATAACACAATGTTGACTGCTGTACCCCTATTTTTGACATTTTTACCTATTACGTCTGTTTGGTTTGATCACACATTGTTATCAATATAATGGAATTTTATGCGACTGTCATATAAGTGAGAGGTTTAGCTAGCTATAAAACCAGGTTTAATCCACCATTTTCTACATAAGAAAATGTCTGTACCAAGTCAAGAATATGACAGTTGTTTTCCATTCGTTTGATGTGTTTGAGTTCTTGATATTGCCATTTGATAAGGGACTTTCCGATTTAAATTTCCTAGGAGTTCGGTGTTTTTGTTATTTTACTTTTTGATAAATTCTTATATGAAAAGAATCGCAATATTAAAAGAAAAACACTTACTAGGTATTTGGTCCTGAGTGCAAATTGTATGTCCTTTTTCCTCTTTCGTCGTAAAGATAGCGTGCTTGTTCATGCATATGGCTAAACGTTTTTAAATTTTTTTGCGTTTGTTTGTCTTTTTTTTTTTTTTTTCATTTCTTCAAGCATACTTGAACTCAAAAGGAATGTTAAAACTGTTTCCTCTTTCTCTTTATTTTTCCGTATAAACAGTGTACCATTTTGCTTTTCATTATATGCAGCCGTCTGTCTGTCTGTCTGTCTGTTTCTCTGTCTTTCATAAGTGCATAATTTTTAAGTAACACGTTAATACTTCGACATTCGTTCATTATATGGTCGGCTTGGCATATCTGTTTTTCTAATGCTGCAGTTTAGGTACCCTTAATAATTTCTCTTTACCGATAATGTATCTAGCAGCAGCATATATACGTTAAGCTTTACAAACATGTCGTGTAAATCGAGATTAAGACAAAACATCTGCAAGTAAAGACAAAATAGATTGATTGCAAAATTCCATTCCAGTTGATGACTATTTTAAGTACAAACATGTAGTTTTGCTAATGCAAATAAAATATCATCTCAAGTTCAATTTATTATTTTTTTTTTTTGTTACATAAACTTTGGTAGTATCATTTTTGTTGGTAATAAACCATCATTCTTGCGCTGCAAATAAGCTCATCATAGATACCAGGATTAAAAATTTGAACCCCAGGCGCGCGTTTCGTCTACAAAAGACATAAAAAAAATTAAAAAGGACAAAACAAAGATCGAAATTGACGGGCATTGAGGACCAAAAAATTCGAAAGGTTATGCCAAATACAATCATTGACTTATGTGCACTGAGATATTTATTTTTAAGCAGATTTTTGTGTTTCTTTTAGTAATCCGTCTGTAACCCAAAAGGAACTAGATATAGAGTGTTGTCCTGACTATATTTACCAGAATAGACAATGTGAAGGTAATATTGCCTTGTTGCATACATAAATTATATTGTTCATTGCTTGTGTGTTTTTTTTTTTAATCGTATGAACATATACTACAAACCAGTAAAAATCTGAAATGGGCAGTTTCTGTTCTCGACTGTACTGAATTGAATTTTACTCGAACATTCTTAATTGGTCTAGATTGTACTTGATGTTACTCGACTGTAGTCTAAACCATGCTCAAAAGTCTGATCTTGAACTCGATCTGTACTTGACCATTTTTAACCATTAGAAAGAATTTGAATCATACTTTACTCAAGTCCGAACAATACTCGACCAAGTCTGAACCATACATGACTAAGTATGAACCATTCTCGACAAATTAATACAAGTCTAAACAATCCTCTACCTCTTCCTAATCTATGTATTTTATATCTTCTATTTAGAGTCTACTTTTTACCAGATTTGATTCCCTCGGCTAGAAATTGACCAAGCGGTACTTTTAAGAAAGTGATGTTTCCGATAAAAAAAAAATCACACATAATTATGTAATAACACAATGTAAAAATAAGTGGTTTATCGTTGAAAAAAGAAATTGTTATACATTAAAGATTGATAAGTAGATGTTTATTGGTCGAGTAAGGTTCAGACGAAGGTCGAGTATGGTTCAGACTTTAGTCGAGTATGGTTCAGACCTTAAAGTCCTTTGATCAAGTATTGTTAAACCATTGAAAACAGGTCGACAACTGGTCAAGTACAGGTCAACAATGGGTTAGGACTGTTTCAGCCTGGTCGAGTACAAATCAGTACAGCTAAGTATGGTTTAGATTGGTGTCGAGCAATATCAAGCACATTTCATACTCATTCAGAATGGTCGAGTAAAATCAGCACAATCAAGTACAAATACAGCTCATTTCAGACTTTTTAAAACTGATTTGTAGTGAGAGTGTAAATGTTTTATATATGTCAATGAGACAACCAACCAAAACATATCTAAAAGTTAAAACCAAGTCTTCCACAATCGATGGATGACTATACGATATCTCAAATTCTAGATCACCCGAAGGCTTAATCAGTCGGGAATACATTTATATTAGAATCGATAAAGGATCATTGTCTTCATCTATACAGATCAACTGTAATCATTCGATTGTTCAAGCAAAAAGATATTGTTTATGATAGCAAAACGTTATTTTATGAATTTTTTCGTTGACTTCGAAAATGAATATTTAATGAGATTTCGAAATAGATTTTATTTTGGTTAAGTAAAATTAAACTAAAATTCTTCATGTTCTTCATTTAGTCTTATATTAAAAGTGCAAACGACAAAATAATACTACTTGTAAAATCTTTTAAAATCATGGACACTTTTTGGACATTTTCGATTATATATTATTCGCCAGTTTTTCAATATCGACTAATATAAAATACTAAACTAATGAAGAAAATCATTAATATTGTTTATGATTTTATGCTTTTATGGTTTTTTGCGTTTTCGTTTGGTCTTTGGTTTTAAACATGTTCACTTTTAAAGATTGTTTTTGTTTTTATTTATCAGAGTACAAGATGGTTTTAATGTTTACAAATGTATTTCTGCAGCATGTCCGCCTGGAAAATTTGGTCAGGATTGCTCACTGACATGTTTGAATAATTACTACGGGGTGCAGTGCAAACATGTGTGCAGCTGTACAGGTAACAAGAAATGTGATCCAATTCATGGCTGTGTCTGTTATGAAGGATTTACGGGAAAGTTCTGCAAAGATGGTAGGCAAATTTTTTAAACCAACGGTTTATATTTAGTAGTCACACTGAACAAAATAAAAATGTTTAGTTTTATCCAACAAATTCCATCATATGATATGTATTTTATAAATGTACGCTCATCCAAAATATGATGCTGTTGGATATGCCGAATGTATACTTAATCCTTTTGCCACGCTTGCTACGTATATGTCACTTGTTGGCAGACGGCGACAGGCGCATATATGTCTCCTGTAGAAAAATAGTGAAGAAACTTTTCAAAGCAACTACAAAATTGAACTACTTGAATTCCATTTAATATTAGATAAATATGGATCATTGAACTCAAATGAATAGCACTAAAACGTCATAACGATAGATAGGACGTCAATGTAAGGATAAAAACTGCACATGTCTCTACGCCTATTTTAAAAACGTTGCTGTTCAAAGGTTGACCATTTACCGCACTAAGGTCATATATGTCAATTGTCGGCAGGCACCCCTTAGGACATATGTTTACATTGTTGTAAAACGACAAGGACATTTTTCTAAATAGACAAAAATAAATTGTTCTAAACCTGCACTACTTGTGTTGTACTTCATGACATACATTATAAGACTTTTAAATTCAAAAGAATAATGTCATAACGAGAGAAAAGACGCCATCAGATGCCATTAGACAGCGTGTCCAATAATGTTTTGCTCAACACAAAACTGAATACTTCATACATAGAACAAGCATTTTAAATACGATGCGGTTATAATGTTAAATTGCTACTTATGACGAGAAGTAATGACATAAATACATGACGCTCATTGTACAAGTCATATAAATTGATTCTAGCTTTTTGTTTCCTTATTTTTTTTTTTAAATGTACACTTCGTCCCCCAGGGTATCACCAACCCAGTAGTCAGCACTTCGGTGTTGACATGAATATCAATTATATGGTAATTTTTATAAATTTCCTGTTACAAAACTTTGAACTTTTTTTAATTTTGGGTCCTCAATGCTCTTCAACTTTGTACTTGTTTGGCTTTATAACTATTTTGATCTGATCGTCACTGATGAGTCTTATGTAGACGAAACGCGCGTCTGGCGTATTAAATTATAATCCTGGTACCTTTGATAACTATTTACACCACTGGGTCGATGCCACTGCTGGTGGACGTTTCGTCCGCGAGGGTATCACCAGCCCAGTAGTCAGCACTTCTATGTTAACATGAATATCAATTATATGGTCATTTTTATAAATTTCCTGTTACAAAACTTTGAATATTTCGAAAAACTAAGGATTTTCGTATCCCAGGAAGAGATTACCTTATCCGTATTTGGCACAACTTTTTGGAATTTTTGGTCCTCAATGCTCTTCAACTTTGTACTTGTTTGGCTTTATAACTATTTTGATCTGAGCGTCACTAATGAGTCTTATGTAGACGAAACGCGCGTCTGGCGTATTAAATTATAATCCTAGTACCTTTGATAACTATCATTTGTTTGTTCTTGTAATTCATTTTCATAACCACTTTTCGTAAATTATGCCTTTGCTGTTAATATGCCCTTTTGTATTGATAGCAGACCTTTGCAATTCTTGATCGCATTTATTCACAAGTTTTCTGGACTGCACGATATTTTCTGAATTTTTATTTCTTTTGGTTCATATTCTAGACTTCTTTGCATGTGTACGTGTCAAGTGAATGTTGTCTCATTGTCCAATTTACCATACCTTTTAATACATATCTTATACTTTATATAAACTTATTAATGAGAGCTAAATGTTCGGTTCAAGTCTGTATGTTTCTATTATGGCATTTGATCTACTTTGAATACGAGGATATACATCACCTTATATATATATTCCTTAATAATGTTTTCATAATTTATATTTATTAACAGTGTGATTATTTTATTTGAAGTTTGTCCAACTGGAAGATACGGCGTGAACTGTTATGAGGAATGTTTCTGTGCACAAGACGCTAAGTGTGATCCGGTAACTGGGGTTTGCTTGTGTCCTGCAGGATGGTTTGGAGATCACTGCACAAAGGGTAAATAAAATAATGGACAAATGTACTTCTTTGTTCCAAAATATTCGTTTAATAGCTTTATTTCTTGCATTCGGAAATTAAGTCAAGCAACATTTACAATATCTTTATACAAGTACAAGTGTTATATCTAGACTAGGAATAAATGTATATATTACCTATACACAAAAACAAAAATCAACAGTCAATATCCTCTGACTCCAAAACTTATTAGTTGTATCGACTGAGGTCGATACTAACTTTTTCTGATAACACGTTATAGCCACGTTTAACGATTTAACTGCAGAATGTAACAAATAATAATAAAATGAAATCAAGGGAAACATCGTTAATGACATATAAAAATGTTATTTAAAAAACGAATTAAAGTCACATCTAAATATAATTATAACTTTTAGTTTAATAGAAAGAATAGATTTACTCAAAGAGGAAAAATAAAAACAAAATAGTCTGCACACGAGATAAATATGCAAGGATTTGATAAACAAAATACTGCATTAACCGTGTTGAAAGATATTCATTATATGATATCAGAATTTCTTGTAGAATGCCCATTTGGAAAATTTGGAAAGGATTGCAATGGAACTTGTGACTGTTCAAATGACGTAACATGCGATGTCATAAACGGAAAGTGCAGTAAGTGCAAATCTGATTCTAGTAGAAGACAAGATTATACAACAAGGTTCCGATATATATTCACATTCACTGTTTTTGCTATTTCCTCAACTGGAAAGTTTTAAAGTCGTATAAATATATATGGGGTAAAACATAGAATATGACATTAACGAAAAAAAGGAGACAAAGACTGACAACAGGGAAAGAATTTGTAAACCCACTTATTTCCGCGGATATTTTGTTCCAAAGATTTTAAGCTTTTTTATTTTTATCTTTGTTCGTGTATTGATTCAGAGAAGACCAACGTTTGACATGGGCGCGACATTGCATATTAACGTTATTTTTCTAGTCGCAAAACTCGCAACAATAAATCACTCGCGACATATTAAGTTAGTTTAAAGTATCAGATATGAAGAAGTTTGTTTTTTTGAGTGAAACTTATATTGTCTTGTTGTTCTTCACATATATACTCTTTGGTACCTAGATTGTTGGAATGTCTAAAAAGTAAACAAAATATCACAACAAAGACATTTGGTGTAGTTTGCAATCAAATCCAAATTATTTAAAAAAAAATCACCATTGTCAGGATACTCATAACAGAGATCAACTTGTGGTACTTTTTCCAAAAACAAGAGAAAAAGACAAATCATTAACCAGATTAAGCTAAAATATATAGGTGAACTAAAACTTATGGAATACAATTTGAGAATAAAGACCACCACGGTTCTACAAAATCATACTAGGTTTGATCATGGACACTTGTGGAGAACCAGTGATATTGAAATAAAGCATTTGGATTATAAATGTATTAGGGGCCAATGAAAGTATACAGATTTACCACTCCACGTATCAGATATAGTTACATCATACTTACCCATTAAAGAAACATGCTGATTGATACAAATCTATGAAAAACACCTGGATAATATCAATCATACACATTTTATTCATTTTAAAAGGTATACGTGTTTACATTTAATCAAGTTGTTGATTTTGATCTTGTTGATGTTTCAGGCGAGAAAGAAGATCCGAATTCAGATGGAGACGTTAATGAATCAAATGGTACAGTTATGATTTACATAATGATGGCTGCTGCTGTTATTGGTTTGGTCTGTGTTGTAACGATGACCTTGAAAGCTAAAGAAGCACTATGTCGTAAAGTACAGAAACCAAAAAAGAATGCTACAAAACCAAAGATTACACGCCGGAAGGCACAACGAAGATCATCAACCCACAGAGAAAACGCTCAGACCGAATCGTTTAAAATAGAAACAACAGTATCAGCCTTGCAACATCCATTTGAAGAAGAAGACTTGTATTGTGAAATAGAAGATATCAATCTTTCCAAAACCCAGTCGGTATTAATGCCAATATGATTGTACAAACTTATGTCGAAATTCATAAAATATCGATGACAACAGTTCAATCATGGAAATTTAAGATATATGGATAAATAGAATCGGACAAGGCCAAATGTTTTTTTAAAAGATGATATTTCTGTAGTATTGTCGCCTTATAGTTATATTCCATTTCAGTGTGTTATTATTCAATCTTGATGAAATTAAACTCTTTATATTGCTTTACAGTAGGAATGATTGACGATAGCAAATACTTGTTTCACTGATTCCGTTCATGTTGCCGATGTTAAAACTCATAAATCCATAGTTTGTATGATTCTAATAATAAGAAGATGGGTATGTTTAAAAATGCGGCAAGTATCAACCATGGATTACAGGACATGAATGTTACAAAAATAGGTCGACGATCGGCCTTTAATCAAAACTATATCATACCCAAAACTGTATAGTCAATCATAAAATAGACAAAGTACCTACTAGATGGAACATTTCCTTTGTTATGAAAGAACTATAATTTTTAACGCTCTGGACAATCAAATATTATATTTGGTTCTGTTATTGTATCTCTCTGGTTATGAACTGAGTATTTTCACTTGAAACATTCAATCCTGATAACTGTCCCATGCATGTTCAGTAAATGTTTTCTATCATATTTTAACTCCAACAGGGAATTCATTAAGTTCTTTGAATAAATAGCTTAAATCCGTTTATCTTCTAATTTTAGTTCTTGAAAAAATAGCTAAATTGTTTATCTGAGCTGTGATTTAAAACTAGGAATTCTTCAAATCCTTTTATGTAATTATAGTACTTTTTTATCCATCATACACCATCTTCGATATATACCGATTTATGTTTTCCGAAAAAAAATTTACTTTTCGTGACTGCACTAGATAGTTTAAGTAATTGTATCCAACTAAACACAAAAGATAGCTCGTGTTAAAATATGATACTCAACTGAATAAGAACTATTAAATATAACACTGAATAATTGGTTCTATAAAATATTACTGAGAATAATCATAATAAAGCTAATACACGTTTATTTATCACAAGATATGTAGTTGCTTTTTTGCTTTATCTTTTCTACATTACTGTTATGGAAGTAGGCAAACAACTTAGTTTATTAAGTTTAAATTGATGTAAATACGTTGGATCGTCGGATTTTTTATGGATTTAAAGTATATTTAGTTGACTTCACTCAAAAGGTAGATGATGATATTTACGTAATTAATCGTTTGAAAATATGAAAAGACTACAAAGAGAAAATTGACAGAACGAATAAAATTTGATAAAAACGAAAACAAAAAGCAATGGCATTATTTCTGGACATGCCTTTTCAACAGCAAAGACAAAACACTAATAAATGAACCGGTAATCTGCCAAACGTCTTGAAAATCACATTAATAAAAAATAACCAGATCAACTCATTATCAGAAAATAAATAACTAAACTTTCATCATTGACGTTTAACACACATCTACTATGCACTTTAGGTTAACATACAATGGTATTCATATTTCATGCTTATTTTGTGCTAGAAATATACAAATTTTCTTTCCAAGCAGTTGAAATTATGGGGGTTCACATTGTCCCCCTGGAAAGAGGTCCTACGTAATTGTATATTTTTGATCTTTTTATTTAAGTCGATTGTTTGTACTCAGTGCTTTTTGTTTGAATGGACTTAATTTGTTGTTTGTCTATGCGTCATATGATGTCAAACAGACTTTATACAGTCATGTTTGTACAATATTAATATATAGGAAGAACACAATGTATCAAAACAAATTTCGAAAACCAGCATTTAAATTTTGTAGCTTAAAGACCTTCTAACGCGAAAAAAAAATATTAAATCAAACATGTGCTGTTTTGTTTCCAACCTTCCTGAATACAAGCGGAATTCAGCCATTGACATACAATTGTTTATAAGAAAAAAGGAAATACGTTCCATTTTTTTTTTTGTCGAATATCATTTTCTGTAAATTGAAATTCAATAATAATGTAGTATATGGGGCCCCTCATTATGACCTTAGCATATCCTTTTTTAGTGGACTCGTGTTGTTGACTCCAATTTATTGTCTTTTAATGTAAATTAACTGTGTTCATCGTATGTGTTATCAATAGGAGACAGTAGATAAAACATTTGGAACTCAAAAATTTTAAAATTTAAGAGCCAAAAATATCTTAAACCAATTCAATGATAATGTTTGTTAATGATAGTTCCTTTCTTTTTTAAGTTATGAGGGTGTTTTCTTCTGTCTATTTGTGTTTCTTTTTTTTTACTTCTTTTCTTTTTGTTTTGCTATAATTATTTTCCGTCTGTTTTTATTCTGTTCTTGTTTGTGTTTTCTTTACGAGAAAGGAGGAGGTGGTGTCGGTTTTTATTTGTTGCAACGTATTTTTGATGCACTTTTATTTATTAATTTATCTCATTAAACTCAGGATTGTGCATCAAAACAGTCAAGGCCAAAAGTTTGTCTGCGTAACTACAACAATAAGCCTATTAATAAGCAATCAAATTCCCATACGCTTGACAAATGTTTAAATCCCTTAAGGTGGCTCGGGCCTACTCGAAGTTTCTGTCAGAAGTGCCGTATTTTTTGTTATTTTAATCTTTACAGAGAGTGAATCAAATTGTTCGAAAAAAAATAGGGGTCCCGGACCATTTAAGCTCAAAATATTACTCTAAAAGAGGTATGTAAAAGGGACCGTTTTTCAATGAAATGATAGGGAAAATAGAGGTGTTGACATATTTTTATCGGAATATCAAAAAAACGTTCTGTGACACTTGGTCCAAAACTGTAATATAAAAAGCTGAAATATAGCTTGAAAGAATGAGCAAATAAAAAACATAGGTCACCGATAAGGAAAAAAAAATATTTTGCCTTAAAACCCAAAATTTGGCGGGAAAATGGTGAAATTGAGTGAAATGTCATTTTGAGTCTTTCACAGATACACATAATAACGATAATAATTTTTTAGTGAAAAAAGTACAATGATTTAACATTTAAAAGCAATCAAAATATTAAAAAAAATAATAGTGAATTTGCGACACGAACTTTTCGTGTGCATGGTAATTCATGCGTGAAATTATGCGCAGTCGAATAGTCCCGATCCACCTTAACTCGATTTAAAGGAGACATATCAAAGCAACATACAAATATTGAGGGAGTTACTTGAACTCAAAAGGGGCGAGACCGGGTGTGTCGCCAGGGTAATTGTCTCCTGCGACGCATGCATCACTCACCATGCGAATTCACACTAGGTCAAAATGTCACAATCAGAAAAAGGACACAATCAGATCAGACGACTATATTGGTATCTAAAAATATAAGACTGTCAAAACATGTCACACCGTATCCGTGAATCAATTCGTGATGGTGACCGTAAAACTTATGCAGGGTTGATTTCAGTCGTACTTCCTCATAAGTCATGGAGCAGTTTGTGTGTTTGGAGCACGCCCCTGTTAATTACGTCCATATAATTTAAACATGCACGAACATTACATATGAACTGAGATGTGTAAACGCAACACGATGGAACATGGGATATGTTACTGCGGAGAAATGGGAAGTTGACTATTCGAAAGTTACTGAGGGAGTTACTTGAACTCAAAAGGGGCGAGACCGGGTGTGTCGCTAGGGTAATTGTCTCCTGCGACGCATGCATCACTCACCATGCGAATACACACTAGGTCAAAATGTCACAATCAGAAAAAGGACACAATCAGATCAGACGACTATATTGGTATCTAAAATATAAAAATCTAAGACTGTCAAAACATGTCACACCGTATCCGTGAATCAATTCGTGATGGTGACCGTAAAACTTATGCAGGGTTGATTTCAGTCGTACTTCCTCATAAGTCATGGAGCAGTTTGTGTGTTTGGAGCACGCCCCTGTTAATTACGTCCATATAATTTAAACATGCACGAACATTACATATGAACTGAGATGTGTAAACGCAACACGATGGAACATGGGATATGTTACTGCGGAGAAATTGGAAGTTGACTATTCGAAAGTTAAAATCATCCCTTGTCTTAGAATAACGTTTGAAGTTGTTCATCAGTTACAATATCGAGGAAAAGGTATAAAGTTGATGCCGACCATTTACTTTCGGTAGTAAACATAATATCCTTTGCCTGGTTTTATGAGATGTAATAAAATATTGAAATATTGGTTAGTGAGTAACAGCTTCCTGTGTAAACTGTGAGGCTCTACTAATACATGTGAAATATTTTATTTTTAACAGCAAGAATACGATTTTTATAATTCTTACCCGATTCATTCTTTTCCTAACCTTTTGATTATTCTTTTTAATCAACGTGTGGTTCGTTTGATCTTAAGTCTTCATTGGTCAAAATTCTATTATGACGTCAAGTTTTCTTGCTTTTCTCTGAAATTCCTATTGTGACGTCATGAAAAAAGGCGACCATGCCTGATGATGTCACATATAAAGAACTTATCTTTTTGCAGATCATTCGAAATTGTTTGCATATCGTCTAAAATTCATTAGAGAAACTGATTCCACCACCATATCTCGTGCAATACGGTATTTATCCACTCTTGACAGTTAAATTATAAATATTTAAAATGCCCTGCGAGCCTCGCGTATTAAATTTGAAAATTTAACTGTCTCGAGTGGGAAAATATTGTATCACACTCGATGCAGTGGTAAAATCTATACATATACGACTTGTATAATAACTACAAAAACACATGATTGTTTGCGTGAAATATAAAACAATTGATAAAAAGCATATACAGAAAAAATAAAAACCGCCAAAAAGTTGCTATGAACTAGTACATAATTTGGACTCCGACTTTAGTGAGTGATACCTTTTAGGTGATCTAAATATTTCTTTAGACAAAGTCTACAATGTTTTTTTCTTCCTAACCAAGCATTCTGAATCACATAAACTGTCTAGTATTCACGCACATGATGTGAAAAACTGGTATTTTGTATTGAACGTTTGCAGGTTTTCAGTGATCTGTGTACCAATTAACCCGATTTGTTTAAAGAATATGTTTGTATCTAAATTATAGGCAACAGTAGATTCGATGTGGTTTATTATGAATAAATGAAAAAAACGTGAGAATAATAATAGGAAGACGATTTTGTTTTTGCTTTAATATTTTTATAGGGGAAATATCAAATGAGGAAATATCAATTTAGATCAAGTATCCTTGTATTTATATTTTTCAAAATATCAATACTTTAACTTATCGATATATATAAAATGAACATTGCTTAATCTTACCATGAGAAAACATTTCTACCTATTTTGTGCATATCTTGGAATTACATCATGCTACTCGTTGAAAACAAATGATTTAAACGCATGTGTCAGGAAAGTTGAAATAAGGTAAGCTGTATATGGTGTTTGCAATAAATACTGTTATTCGAAAGAATTACACTGATGTACTACATACAAATCAAGATATGATATCTTAACTATTTCTATAGTTAAACTATCAAATTCATCTGTTAAATTTAGACCGTAATGTATAAATGAATTTTTAATCACTTTGTTTCCTATCTGGGAACAGTGTTCTCTGTACCCGTTCATACGCCCTTGATATACATCATTTGGTGGTAGAGATACTTATGGAATCGTTCATATCTTGTGCCGACTTCATATTTCAAAGTAAAAATATTATTTTCTTTTTTTTTGTGTTTGCACATCTACACCAGGAGGTAGACATCATTATTCGGCAATATATCAAATACTATAAGCAAACACGGTATATTTAACATTAAACAGAGGAAACCGGTTATAGTTTGTTAGCTATTTTAACACTGTTGTTTGTGTGCATAACATATTCTATACCACTGTATCAAACTATGGATAGCTAAGTTTATTTACTATTGTGTATGGCAAGGAACAAAACATCTTGCTCTCAACATAGGCCTGTTTATGCCGTACAGTTGTAGCCCTTGCCTTAGAGAAATGTGAGTCACAGAAAAGTCGATTTCAAGATCTTATTAACCGTGATCAAATCTTCATATGTCCATAAGTCAAGGAAATGAATGTTTATTCCTACTACCTAC